TTCTAATACATAGTTAAACAGTCCCAACTCTAGCCCTTCTAAGCATGTCAAGTTGACTAATTATTCTGTGGAAATTAAAAACCGTTTTATGTTTTCGTAATATATAAAATATTGATTAAAATACTTTACTGTCCATTAAGAATAATAAACCAAACAACTTCACCAGTTTTTACTGACCGCCGTCCGCTGTGTATGCCTTTGTGCTATTGTCAAAGCGTATAGGTCAACTCAAAAGAAAGAGGAGATTAGCTGGTGAGATAGCGTTGAGGCAATTTACCGAAATCATGCCACATATACGCACTGCACGAATAAAACCACTTGAAAGGGCTGACTCAAGCTGCTCCCAGATTTCTTTTAATGCTTTTGTCGCGACAGTCGTGTGTTTAGTACGTGGCAAATGAAAAAACAACTTTGAATGGGTATTAGAGGAAGTGTAATCGAAGGTTGGAGAACGAGCACAATACAGACGCCAGTTTTATTAAACTGCTACCTGAAAATCGGTTTGGGTTATGGGATGTGTAGTAAATACCAGATGTTTACTTTCTATCCGAAGAAAGAAATCTACAGGGTTTCCAATTTTATACAATCAAAGGATACAATATTTTATAAAAACGTATATTTAGTACACCACTGAGACAAAATGTAATAACTTTATTCCCCAAGACATATTGATATAACTATTCCAGTATCTAAATTCTTTATACTAAGAAGTTAAAGACGAGGTTTGTTCTATTTATTTTAGTAAATTTAACAACCTAGGTTGAAAATGTTGATAATAAACAGTACAATCTATTCTTAACTTTATTGACCCAAAATCTTTAATGCTTTGTGGTATATGGTAGGAAGGTGAAGGTTAAGTATCTTATATACTACACGCTACACAGAGAAAAATTCTACATATTACTAAATATTCGATTTATTGGGAATGGCTCTGCAGTTTACTAAGTCATCAGGAAATTCATTAAATAATGAGTTTAGGAGTGCCACACCTCGGTGGTTCTCAGGATATGCCTTTTTGGACTTAATATAAACTAACAACAGCGCTTTTACATCCTACCTCTCTCTGCAATAGCGCACGGTCCAAAATTTGACTCTGCGAAAGATTGCACAGAGAATTTTTTCTTTGTACGTTTTAACTGCTGACCCAAGCAGACACACCTCTCTTTACGTTTCAACTGCCGACCAAAGCAGCCACCCGGTGGATCATCAGATCACGGATTAACTATTTTAAGTTATATTTCTTATACAAAGAAGAGAGCAAATAAATGGTAACTGTATTATCTATCAAACAATTTTAAAGTCTACTGGTTATAATTGTAATACATTTCGACTGAGTAAGAAGTAGTTTCTTTAAATCCATACAACAAAAAGAGCCACCGCTTAATAGAAATACACCAAAAAATCGAAAGAATAATTTAAAGTAATTATACCTAATAACTTGTACCGAGCCGAAATATTTATTTAGCTACACCTAGATGGTGTAAGAGAAGCCTTCCCGTTTTCAGTGCCTTTGATAAAATACTCAGTCCGATTTTGAATTGTTGGGATATATTCTAAAGACTATTTATGTCGTTTGTCTTGAATTATTCTCAAGATTTTTCTTTTAGTTTCCAGAGTGATTTTAAATTGGTGTTTTTTAATCATTGTGTAGCTGCACACTCTGTATTTAGTAATACATATTTTATACATTTTATACGTATGGAGGACAGTCCGCTGTTGGGTTCTTTCTGGTATACTTTTAAGTGCTACCAAAAAATTGACTTTTTTTCTCATCCTGTTTCAGATGTTTTGATATTAGTGTTCTAGTTGAGTATCTTAAAAAATTCAACACCTAAATGGGACACTAATGGTTTAAATTTAAGCCTTTATTTGTAGAGCACTATTTCGTTATCATTCTTAAGATCGCTGCACGATAATTTAGGTTATCTTAACAGTTTTAACTTTGTTTTTGTTGGATTTGGATTTAAGTGCAACTAAGGTTTATCAAATAGAGACGCTTCCCCTCAGGTAGGTAAAGTGGCCAGTCTAGAGGAGAGAGTTGGATTGACTATTGGGTTGGGAAGGTTGCTAGACTGTGTATAATATCTCTGATGGTTTTTATTCCTGTGGAACTTCTAGTTATGATATTAAGTCTGTAAAGAGTTTGTCAGCGACTTTTAATCGAATTTTCTGGTCATAGAGTAACTAGTTTAGAATCATAAAAAATGAAAATGGCAGTTCCTCTCATGAAAGGTTTTCTGGACATCGAGGACGATGCCGATTGTGTGTATGCAAATGACCAAATGTAAATCTGAATTTTAAGTAGGAGATGATTTTTCTTCGCCTAGGAAAACTACCGCCTATTTTTAATATCAGTGAGAACATACTCTTTGAAAGTTGTTTTAAACACCTTTTTCGGATACCATCAGGGTGAAAAGCTATGTTTTTGTCGAATTTACACAAAGTTCTGACGAAGTTTACTTTTAATGAGCCAACTATGGGTAGTAGTTAACATTTTTAATTTAACTGAGTCGCTATCGACTATAGACGAAAGCTATTAACACTAAAAACCTGATCCAGAGGTTTAAAAAATTAAAAGACGTACAGTGAGTCAATTGACTTAGTACAACCCCTTAATCAATGACTTGCCAAAATTAAACTGCTTATTTTAGAGACATAAATATAATGTTCTAGGCTCTAACCTACCTTAATTCTGTATTTCATGGTGCTACAATTAATTACAGACATAAAGTAAATAAAAATTGGCTAATGAAATAACAGAAATATCAAACTTTTATATCTATTACGAGAAGACAATTTTTGAGTTTTCCATTCTTGACTTTCTTCTAGTAATTGGTGCTATTGTTTAGCCCCTTTTATTTGGATCTCATATAGCTATAGTTTTTGTAATCTTTTTCTCGCATGATAATATTCTGTTTGCTAGATTTTCTAGTCCTTAGTCTGTCATGATAAGTCTATCTTATCGAGTTTCATTTCTTTTGTAAAATTTTATTAATTCACTATTTTATTTTTATTTTTTTTTTCTTATCATATCATTTGAAACGGCTTGTATTGGAAAAATTCTAACATAGATCGATATACAACCATTTGTTTTATCTAAACATTTTCTAGATTTAAAAATTATGAGTTAAAAACAAACATGAGTTCTCCGGATTTCATAAACATGACAACAAGATACTTGCACAGATATTAACAAATTAGACAAATACAAAGGACGGAATAACACCAGCTTTAAAAGAATAACAATTTAAGCAAAAAGCACTGACACAGTGGTGTATATAAACTTAAATGTGGCGACTACCCAAAAGCGTACATCGGTCAAATTGGTAAAACTTTTAACAAACGTATAGCAGAACATAAAATGAAATGAATGAATGAATGAATTAATAATAAAAGGGCTTTAACAATGGAAAAATAGATTCTACTTACACACTTCACCTTCCAAAATAAATAATTTTAATTTACCAAAATTATTGTAACATTTGCGAATAGAAAGTTTTAATTGATTTTTACAAAATAGAGATTTTTAATAGTTCTCCTCTTCTTACTGTTTTACGACATTAAGTTATAATATATCAGCTATGTCGTAAAATTTGTGCTATCAATGATTTGTAACTAGAGTAGTGTGACAAGCAGGGGGAGAGAGAAGGTGACAGTTAAAAAATTTGACTGTGTTATGATAAAATTTTTTAACATTTTTCAACTCATTGGGATATTAGTGAAATTATTGTAATATTTATTTTTAAGATCGAAAAAGTACTAAAAGTAAAACTTTTTATTGCAGGTACAGTGTGTATACCTACTTTTAATGCACTAAGTAGCATTGTGATATTTGAAAATACGACGTCGTTCTCTCTTTCACTTTCTCTCCAAGGGCGATACACCCCAAATGGATCCTTGCCCCCTGCAAACTGTGCCACCAACCTTGTAGATCCCGCACCAATCTATTCAGCTGCTCACTTGTGCCTAGAAAATGTTGCGCGTTCGCTGCCTTTTCATGCTCCCAATTATATTGTAGCACTATTTGATCAGTGCCTTTTTGAACAGTTGGTAAATTTAATTCTAGTACCTTGATCTCCACAGTCAGTTTTCGTTAATAGGTCAAAAAATCTCCCTTGGGACATTTTTTTTAAGACTTTTAACTTTCATTTTCATCAATCAAAAGAGAACATTGGGCCAAATTCACTTGAGACATGGACTACGACCTATATGGTGCCCAAAAGAAAGTATGGAAAATGCTCCGCAACAGGAAAAAACCAGTTAACGAGTTCGTGCAGACCAAAGGAGTACCTATAGAGGCATGGCAACAGCATTTTAAAGAGCTTAACGAAGGCGAAACAGATGTGAGTGCTACAATCAATGACGAAGAAGTAGAAGCAAAGATCAAAAAGCTAAAAAACAGAAAATCACCGGGAACGGATGGTATACCCAATGAACTTTTAAAATATGGAGGCCTGGAACTTGCAAGTAAACTGGCACAACTATTTAACAAAATATTAAACAAAACAGAAACACCAGAGGAATGGCATAATAGTATCACAATCCCCATATTTAAAAAATGACAAAAAACCTGCCCACAAAACTATAGAGAAATAACCCTCTTAAATACAACAATGAAACTTTTCACGGGTATTCTCAAGGACAAATTGGAAAAGCAAATCACTAATGCTGAAGAACAACAGGGTTGTACAAAAGGACGGTCTATAACAGACGCAGTATTTAAAATAAATCAAATAAAAGAAAAAGCTATAGAGTTCGGCATGCCAGCGTATATTTGCTTCATTGATTTGACGAAGGCATTTGACAGAGTTCGCCTGGGATACAGTCTAAATATATTAATAGAAAATGAAACACCGACCAGTATAACAAAGATACTCCATAACCTAAATAACAACAACGTAACCAAAGTTAGAGCAGGAGACGAATTCACTGAAAATATTCCAACACCGGGAGGAATTAGACAAGGCGACAGTTTAAGCCCCTTCTTGTTTAATCTTCTCATGGGCAAAATTATCAACAAAGTAACATCTCTTAATCTCGGATATAGAATGGGCAACAAAAGAATTGGTATGGTGTGTTACGCAGACGATGCAGCAATTATTGCCGAATCAGAAGTTGATTTTCAAAGGCAGCTCTTTCAGTTCTTTCAAACAAGCCGACTACTAAATATGAACATCTCTACCAACAAAACTAAATGTATGACAATAGCAAAAGATCCGCTCAGATGTAAGTTAGTGGTTGAGGACAACCCCATAGAACCGGTGATGCAATTCAGATATCTGGGCATATATATATATATATATATATATATATATATATATATATATATATATATATATATATATATATATATATATATATATATATATATATATATATATATATATATATATATATATATATATCAAGCACCGACGACCCAGAAAAGGACCCAGAAAAGGACCTGAGGAGTCAGATCAACAAAGCGTCTGCACTGTCAGGATGTCTGCGGGAGATAGTCTGGTCAAATCCGTATATGCGCACAGATAGTAAAATTAGAATCTATAAGACTTGCATACGACCGATCATGACATATGGCATAGAAGTACGCGAAGATACCAACAAAACGAAACAGATGCTAAGGGTTGCCGAAATGAAAACCCTAAGAACAATAATGGGGAAAAGAAGAAGAGACAGAGTGAGAAATACAAACATTAGAGAGCAGTGCAAAATTCAAGATATTTTAAGATGGGGAAGGCAGCGCAAGAGGATGTGGTACAACCATGTAAGACAAATGGATGAGAATAGACTCCCAAAAATTGCCCTAGAAAACAATCCGCCCGGTTCAAGACCCCCGGAAGACCACCTAAAAGATGGACGTTGGCAATCTACCGCCCAAGAAATTAACCAGAGGCAGCTTCAGAATTAAACAGATCGAAAGATCTACAAAAAGTAGAAGAACTTTCATTTTGTGTCTTCTGTCATCACTTACGTCTGTTATCCATAATATACTACTGGTTTGAGAATAATTTTGTAGACTTTGATATTTGATCTCCAGTATGTATTTTTGGAGCGGAATACATAAGCGACTCAAAAGTAAGCTTTATTTTCATCTATGATCTATGATTTTTTCAATTTCTGGTTCTTCTGTTCCATCCATGCTTAATGCAACTCCCGGATAAGTGAAACTTTCTAGGTTTTGCCTGTGTTAGCTTTTCTATCTTTTAAATATTTGTTTCTCGATTCGCTACAGTCTCTTTTGTCTTTGCTTTTAATTGTGAATATATTTCTGCTGCCTCTTCTGTTCTGCGAGAGATAATGCTAATGTCATCGGTATAGACGGCAATCTGCAATGATTTATTTGTTAGCAAACTCCTTCTTCTTTAAGTTCCATCTTCTATCGAAGGTTGGAAATCATCATGGCTATGCGGACTCTGTTGACTGCCGCTCTAAAAAGTTCTGCACTACTGCATTCAAACCATTCCCTTAAGTTCTTAAGCCAGGATATTCTTCGTCTTCCCACATCTCGCTTTCCTCGGATTTTGCCCTGCATAATAAGTTGTTATTTATAGTTAATATTATTTCCGCCTCATTTTCTATCCTTATAGTTACTTCCATGTTTGACATTCTTTGAATCCATGATATTCGTAGAATTCTTCTGTAACACCAAAATTCAAAGGCGGCCAGCTTATTCAGATGAACTTGTTTTAGTGTCAAGGCTTTCAGACCATAAAGAAGAGTAGAGAATACGTAACATCGAAGCAGTCTCAGGTGTAGTTCTAACCTTATATCCCGACAACGAAGAAACTTTTTAAGTTTAATAAATGATGTACGTGCTATTTTAATACGTGTCCTAATTTCTTTGGTTTGGTCTACATCTGATGTTATCCATGTTCCTAAATATTTATAGTTATTAACATTCTCAATTGCAGTATCTTCAATAGTCAATTGGATATTTGCATGTGCAGATTTAGTCATGATCATGCATTTAGTTTTCTTTAAATTTATCTTCAGTCCGTACTCATGACAGCGTTCATTAAGGCGTTGCATTAGGTTCTGTAAATCATTGTTGTTTTCCGTAATTATTACTGTATCGTCTGCAAAACGTAAGTTATTCAAAACTTCTCCATTGATAGATATACCTTCTATTGAGTCTGAGAGCGCTTCTTCAAATACAGCTTCACTGTAGACATTGAAAAGTAGTTGGGACAGCATGCAACCCTGGCGGACTCCTCTCTGTATTTTGATATTTTCGGTGTACTGGCTGTCAACTCTTACCTTGGCAGTTTGATTTCAATATAAGCAAAGACGTAGCAAACTACGTCTGATTAAATTCAGCTATCTTATCACATATTCGAGAGTTAATTTAGATAGTATCGGTGCCAGGCCATCTCCTTGCATAAATCCTTCATATACTATAATAGACAAAAATCTAAAATCCACATTTTGTTTTTTTTTCCTAAAAATATATTTGAAAACATTTTAAGCATAACACTATTAAAGAAGTATCGTTTGGACAAAACATTAAAAAAATTGTTTTCCTTTTGTCTGTCTATTTGCGCGATCTACCCACATCAAAAACAACTTAGGTATGCGTAATAGAATAATGCATTATTAATATCATCCGAATTTCCCAGGCGTTAACATAGCTTTCTCCTTAATGTAAATCTTTCAGAGAGTCTGTTTAGAAAACATCATGGCCGAGTAGAATAAGCAGCTTAAAATGCCTTATTTATATTTATATTGAGAGAGTTAAAAACAAACTGAAGGAAGTGGACGGATTATACAGGGTTGGATCGTGGTAGGTAGTTATAATATTTGTATATGTATATGGTGTAGGTGATTCCATCAGTTTGTGACTGTTTTAAAATAAATAGGAAATCATCATTAAAGTATAATATAATCAAGTTTTCTCAATAATGATTTACGAGGTCTCTTTGAAAAAAAAAATAAGTTGTTTCCTAAATCCTGATATTGACCAGAATGAAATCACTACCAATCAAAATTCACATTCTAAAGAGAAAATCACAGTATTTAAGTGCTGTCATGGAAAAGATTGGAAAAAGCAAATACATGCTTTGAACAAGTTTATGAGACCTTTCAAGAATAATCCTCCTCCAGCACATTGTTCATAAAACAATCAAGTAAATTCCTGTACTATTTTGAACCTAAAGAGTACTGCTATTTAAACAGGATCTCAATCAGAAAATGACTTCCAAAGCCGATGCCTGGCTAGTATTAATATAGAAGATAATGGTATGAATATTGATGTAAAGTAAAGTACTCAGGTGGAGAATGTCAGTAGGGATCCAACTTTGAATACAGAAAATCTCAGTGAGGCTGTGGAAAATTGATACTATAACACCAACATTTAATTTGAAAAACCTTTCAAAGGATCAGAATTAAGTTCTTATTTATCCACATACTTCGTCGAATTCTTAAGATGAAGCTGTAAATGTCGCCAGAAGCAAAAAATTTAAAGCGACGCTAAAAGAAGTAAACGCTGTATGCAAAGAAAAAAATGAGAATAAAAGGGGTAGCAAAAAAGTTAAAGCAGATTTTTCTGCTTGGGAAGGAAATCAACAAAAATGTTTAAGAATGTGTGGTAAAGAATATGAAGCAAAAATAAGGAAAAATATGAATCTATAATTACCACAAAGAGAAACGCCCGAGAAATGAAATAAATATGTATTTCATCAAAGTGTTTGGCTGCAAAAGAAAAAAAGAAAATATTCAATGATAACTGATGATAACTTCAACAATGCAAAAAGAACACAAAATAAATCACGGCGTAATTCAAGTTTAATTTATCATTTGAAAATAGATAATACCGTAATTCCTGTTTGCAAAAAAAATATTTCTCTCCACATTAGGATTGGGTGAATGGAGTGTTCGAATTGGGTGAAAACTAGTTGTGACTCAGGTATCCCAAAAAAAAACTACTATTACTTTTCCTTACTTACGTACTTACTAACTTCGTGGCGTTACAACCCTTCGTGGGTTTTAGCCGACTCGACAACATGCCTCCACTGTTTTCTGTCTTGAGCAACCTCCATCCAATTCTCCACGCCCATAGTGCTTAGGTCTCCTGCTACATTATCTCGCCACCGGAGACGAGGGCGTCCGCGTGGTCTCCTTCCAGTTGGGACTTCCTCCCACACCAGTCTTACTGTTCGTTCGTCAGAATGTCTTCTGAGGTGTCCTGCCCATTGGAGTCTTCTGGACTTTATTTCGTTTATGATGTTGGCGTCTGGGTAAAGTTCTTTGAGCTCTTTGTTAGTTCCTATCCTCTATTTTCCTGATGCTTTATTCAGCAGAGGACCAAAGATCTTCCTTACGATTTTTCTTTCCCAAACACATAGTCTCTCTTCGTTTGCCTTTGCCACGTTTCGCTTTTATACATCACAACGGGTCGTATAATTGTTTTATACTACTACTTTTCCTACCAATATTAAACCTGTCAAAAGCATTGCTTAAAAAACTGCCAAAGATACCCTCCCATTATTGCCGTTCACCAACGAGTAACCTTTATTTGAAAACAACTTTTCAATCATATAAGGAAGTGTATGCCGTATACAAAAATTATGAATTTCAATATGCTGTCGGATGTTTTCTTAAAAAAAATTGACAAACATTAATGTGCATCATCCTAGGAAGGGCCAGTGTAATTTATGTCTTTCGCATAAACTGGGCAATGTAGGGCAAGAATGTTAGGAATCGCTAGCCAAAAAGGTCGCGCTAAAAAGGACAAAATCAAGGATAAAGAAGATGTTTGAAAGGAAAAGTGTGCGTATTTACGATGGATGTACAAGTGGTACAACTTGTCCCAGCAGGCATGGTATACTTAAAACAGAAACTAGCTTGCCATAACTTTACCATCTATAATTTAACAAATAATAAGGTAGTTTGTAATGTATGGCATGAGGAAGAGGGCAAAACGGATACCAACTCCTTTACATCTTGTATAGTTGATTTTTTAAATGAAGAGTTAGATCGCCAAGAAAATGACAAACCTAAAATTTTTTATAGCGATGGATGTTCTACACAAAATATCAACATGACATTGGCTAGTGCACTTCAGCATTTCTGCAAAGAAAATGATGCGGTAATTATACACAAAAATTTAGTTAAGGGTCACTCGCAAATAGAGTGCGATAGTATGCACTCCACCATTGAAAGAAAGAAAAAAAAATGAATGCTTTTATTAACCATCCAATTATGTGGAAATAATTAAAGAGGCCCGTAAAAATCCCAAAAATCCATAAAAAGTTAAATACATAACTAGCGGACCAACTCCATAGCGAGTTTTTTAAATGAAATTTTATTTTGCAAGAAAAATTAAGAGATCAGTGCAAATAGTATAAGCAGGAATATACATAACATTCATCAATAATAATGCAAGTAAAAAGTGTATAAATATCACGAAATATTTCGTCGAAAACAATGTTTTTTGTTACAATGTCACCATTTTCTGAAAACTTTTGCTTGGCACCGGGAGTAATGTAAACTTTTACTTTTTACTTTTTAATAAAAACGAAACCGGAAGTCGACCTCAAAACCGGAATGCAATTTTTAGTTCATCAAATGTCGACATAGATATCACTTAGCAGTTAATTTTGCATGTTGATCACGAATCCGTTGTCAGATTTGCTCTATTTTGACGTTTTATGCGCGTTTCGGGTCACTTTCGGTGTCGGATCGCAACCGGAAGTACATATTTAGATTCGTCTCGACGAGACCTTTTGATCCATATATACATTGTGGGGTCTAAAACTTAAAGTAAATTTTAACTTCCGGTCATCTCAAAACCAGAAGTAAATTTTTGTACCAAAAGATCTTGACAATCTCATACGTAATACTAATAATATTCCGAAAAAATATTTTAATTATCTAATATGGTTTTTGAGTAAAGTGGTGGACAAGAAAAGGGCTTAGCGTTTTAGTATATATAATGACTACTCCGAAATTACGTATTATTCATCCATTCGTCTAGGAAATAAAGTGGGA